GAAAACTATATAATTGTTTATATCGTTATTTTACATCATTAATTTCACACTTCCCGCAAAGTGTCGAACCGAAACCTAAAATAATATATGACTCTGATGTTTACGAACCGATAAACTCACTTATTAAGACAAGAATACAGTCATACCTCAATTCCTGCAGTACGTCGTACTGTGCTTAATATATATTATATTTGTAGTGATTGGTATGTTAAAAAATATGATAACAAAATAAAAACGAGAACGGAAATATCTAACTACGTTCAAAAATTCGCCAAACCTAAACGACAACAATTATATAACGCTAGCAATATTATAAGTATACCTATATATTATGCCCATGTAATAGGTATGGGTATATACTAAAACACTATATAGGTACCTACATTATATTATTAATTATATAAGTCATCGACATGCAGCGTATCGTGTAAAATTAAATGGGTTTAAAAAAACCATCCTGGGAAACGACGCAACTATAATGTAAAATATAATTATTGACTTGCTACGGTTGCAAATCTTATAGGTTAACGGGGGTTGCAGGAAATTGTCCGACCGCAGAACATATTGACGTAACTAGATCTAAATGTTTGTTGATGTGTGTGTTGTGCTAAAATAGTGACAAACATAGCCGATTAATATAAGGAGTAGTTGAATTGGTTCCCGTTTGAAAAAGACAAGCCGAATTGATTACCTTTTAAATTTATGACGATCCCAGAATCTCATTCCTGGAGTTTTTGAATGCTATTAAATCCCTATAAAATAAAAAAAATATTATTATAAGCGCTGGTAAATTCTTTATATTATTTTATATTGAAAAATAATTGTTTAAAAATTTTAATTTAAACTATTTGACCTGAACATAAATGCGAACGAATTCTACCCATCTTAATAAAATTACTTTATAAACGAGAACTAATTCGGCATGTGAGATAGGGGTCTTTAACTAAATTCAGCACCATCCCTAGCATACCTATTCAACCAATTAATCTTCATTTCGAACTCCTTTAAAAAATGTTTAAATTAGATATAAAGTTGAGTGACAATTATTTATTTTCATAAAAATATTCATACATTATTGGTACATTTTCCCCTATATCATAAACATATATACTATATAAATACTATACATTTTTTAGATTTTGTTTCGCCGTCTGCTTGAAAAACTGTGTTTGCGTGTTCCAGAACTTTATTGGATTATTATGATAAAAATTTGAAACAATGTAGACAAGTTAGGAAAGGCATAATTTTGTAACTATGGTCTTCCCAAGCATAATGCCATTAATAATATTAACTTTGGTAATCCGTATTAATTCAATAAACCAATCTACAATTTATTAATCCTAAATAAAATACTTCATAACATGAATGCTAACATCATGCATTATAGCAATCGAAAAACATAATGCTTATTAAACTACAAACTACAAAATTGAATATCTATATAAAAATTAAAAACTATGGCATGGATTTTTGAGTGTACTTATTTCGTCATTACTTTAAAATAGTTTTCATTATAAATATCTAATAATAAAAATAAATACAGTTATATTATTTTATTTCATTTATGACAATTGGGTAGACATTTATTATTAATTTAAAACCAACCTTTAGTATATATTATATTATTATAGTACATTTTAAATAGTACCAATGGCCTATGGACTATGTTGTACGTATGCCGATTACCGACTTGAACGAATAATCACTAAACATAAGAAGATGTCAGCGCATAAGCGCACTAATTATTTTCTCCTTTCCGCGGTGAACGTGCATCGCGCAACATAGCCATTTCATCAAAACCAATCTTGTGACTTAAGTTTTAACTTAAGTATTAATTTCCGTATCATCAAACTTAAGTTAAGAACATTTAACATTATATGTGTTTTTTGGGCTTTTTAATATTATTTGAATCTTAAAGCAAGTTATTAGCACTTAGCTTTTGAGTTTATTTAGCATTTTTAAATTGTTACATTTTACACACCTTCTCATTACGTGCATTACAAAATTGGAACAACAATTAGCACTAAAAAATTCAATGTTAGAAAACACAGGTAATGTTCTTATAACGGTAAGTTTGATAATAGGTAAGTCCATTCGTCAATTCACTCTAATACTAAAGCTAACGACATAATAGGTTGGTTCTGCTGAACTCAAATTTGCCGTAATATGTTGCGCGTGGGTCACAGAGAGAAAACAAAGTATAGTGCTCCGACATCCTTTAAAACATGATTTCTTGGTCTATTAAATGTTAGTGGACCATTAAATTAATTATTTTTTTATGCAATCCGGCAATTGTACAGCACCGAGGAGCGCTATTATTATGGAGGATAATAATATCCAGAGTAGGGGGCATAATGTGCAGTACCGCCAGTACCAGAGCATATAAAATGTATGTGCGTATCATACCTTCCGTATAAATAAGCTCATATATCATAATATTGTTATTAGTTTTTAATTTTTTATTTCTTCCTATGCCAATGTGCGTAGACATGTGGTGGATATTAGATAATCGCTGCAGTGGCTCTTGTAAATATAATAAATCGATTACACATACCGTAATGTAAGAAAAGGAAAAGAAAAACCGACCTCGCATTGCAAATAGTGCGAAAAACCATTAATCATAATCATAAAGTCAATACTATTACCAAACACTAAGCTGTGTATACACATACTACATTCGCATATGATTTTTTCGAAACTTCCAGTGGTGCTCGCTGTAGCTACACGGCCGCGGTAGCGAACAACGACATTCGACAAAACTGAAAACACACAAGTCATCTTAACCAAGTCATTTTTCCTGCCTAAATATTGTGTATTATGCATTATCCATGTACGGCTGACAAATGTCACTGGGTCAACACTAGTCGTCACATTTACAATAATAATATTATTATTTATTATTGTTGTTGTTATTATTATTATGGTTGTCGGCGTAGTATGCACGGCGCACGGGAAGGATGACGATTTTTTTGGCAGAAGAAGTTTCTAGGTCAAGGCCACGTGACTATAGTATGCGCACCATCGTATATAATACATTTATACCTACACCTAGGTTTATATTATAAAAAATATATAAACCACTGGTCGTGAGGTTCCCGCTGCGGCAAAACCTGTCGGGCGGAATTTGGAGGAGAAAAAAATGTCGAACGAATGTGCGTTTCAAAACGAAATCGCGTTAAATCACGGTAATTCGGTCAGTTTTTATATTTCTACGAAAATGTATTTCGATGTCGAGTCAGCGTATATAAATATAATAATTTATTATATTATGTACACACAACTTACATTACGCAGATCTAGAGTAACACTTATTTAAGATTATTTATTTATACGACGTAAGTGCGAGCGTGATGTATATTGTATATAGTATATACTACATTAGTACATACTGCCAGTTACCTATGTTATATATGTGTAAGTTGCAGGTAGTATTATGACTTATGAGACATAATTAATTTATTAAGACGATGCGTAGAAGTAGAATGATATTAGAACGTTCACTTCAATTCTTTACGTCTTAGTGTACCTACTAATTATGGCTTATTATATTATTATTTTATTAACTTATTCTGTTATTATCGAGAAAAAATGACAAACCAAAAAATAAATGATATTATCATTATTTATACTTTTTCATTAGTCATTATACTCATTACCTATTTAAATATTTGAACACTCCAATGTTCACAGCTTGATATACTGCATTACTGCATGTTAGATAGACATATATACATATTATAGTGCATAAGTGTAAGAAGTACGTCTATTTAAATAAGATATAGAACACTTAAAAATAGTTTTTTCTAATTACCACTCAAATTTGAATGTCCATGATTTGTTTTCTATAGATGTAGTATTTGAGGGTAATGTTCAAAATACTCTCCAGTCAGCATCAACATTTTTACAATTGTTTATTTGTTTCCTCGCATATATTTTATTAATATAGAGTCGGTAAAGTGAACTTAAACACGTTTATATGTAAAATTATGTTTTAGTTTTTTTGGTGGTAAATTCAAAATGGTACAAGTAAACAGAAAATAACATTGAATTTTATAGTTCAAGCTTATTAGTCTTATAGAGAATTTATTTAAATTGTTCTCAATCTCATTTTGCCTCCTATTTATGAATAAGTACCTATAATGGGTACCATATTAAGCACATAACATAAGGCTAGGTTCACATGGACGCGCGTACACGCGCGTTAGCCCGCCGCAAAACGCGCGTACGACCGTTCAGATAGCTGCGTTTTACACGCGTTGAATAAAGCAGTGTAAGTAAATAATAGATATCAAAGTACCTAGTTATAATAATATTTTAGTACAGTTCAGACATCCATCGAGAATGGACGTAGTAGATNATCGACGCGCGTGTACGCGCGTCCATGTGAACCTAGCCTAAACCTGCATGCAGGTATAACAAAGAAAATAATAGATATTATAACTCATATAATTTTGAGTATAAAATATAACGATGCCAAATATTTTTCGGTAGGTATACTTGCATGGAAGAGTTTAACAACTCATCAGTAAAATTAAATCTCATGGTACACTATACAATAAATCCGTTGTTAAATATCAATAAAATCTTCTAGTGTTCCTAATTCAGTCACAGCAGGTATGGAAGTGGGTGCAAGTAAAAAGAAAAAAAAAATACCAAAATATCGAATATAATATTATTGGCTATAGCTGTATATAAAAATTCTCTGAAATATTATGCTTCCATAGAACTGTGTGTTATCAAAACGGCACGTGCGCGCAGGCAATTCACAACGCCTTTAATAATAATGTATGACTACTGACTATATACCTAATAATATGAGGTGTATACATATTAGTTGGTTCTTTTTTTTATTTTTATCTCTAGACGAACACTTCACTCGTAATAATTTATCATACGATATTATGTACCTAATAATAATAATAATAATAATAATAATAATAATAATAAATAAAAATTATAAGCAAAACGTAGCACTTGAACGATATACTCGTCGTGTAACCACACAATACTAGTATACTAATACTACACAAATATGTACCCAACACACATGCGTAAAATATCAGAGTATCAGATCATTTAGACATACGTGTTACATAGGTACATAAGGACCATATCGTTCATGCGTATACCTAGGTATATCGAGGTACATACCAGTCATACTCATACATAATTTACAGCCGAGGGTGCACGCGTATATCCGGGTGCGTTTATAATGTGCACAACACGGTCACGAGGTCAACCCGACAACAGTCGCTGCAGCAGCAGCAGCAGCAGCAGCAGCAGCAGCAGCAGCAACATCGTCGTGGTCAGTTTTCCCGTTCCGGTGTAATAGGTAAGAATAATATCTATTACCGATTTTTTTCTCTCCTCCTCGGCCAACTCGATGGATTTTTCATCGTAATATAGTATAATATATAATATTATATTACAAACGATAGGTAGCTGAACAATATTTAAATTAATACTCATTAGGTATCAGTCATTCGATATAAAATAAATTGTACAAAGTAAGTTATATTACATTATTACCTATACGGCTATAACCACAGGCTAAATATGACTTTCAAGAAAAATTGCAAATGGTTGTATCAGATACGAAATTTAGAGGCGCTGCCGAAGAACGTGCAAGCGTCTGGCCAGGGTCATCGATGCCATGGAAAAAAAAGATTATGAAATTACGATTTAGGTACTGGGTGATATTTTGTATACAAGTATATTGTTCTGTGATATAACTATAATACAGTAAATACTAAATGCTATAATCGTTTCTTGAAAAGTATCAATTTTTTTAAAATATATATGAACAATTTTAAACATGCATGAAAATCCATAATTTTTTGTTCTTGTTTTTTAAATGACAAAATAGGTAATATATCTAAATAAGTACACTAAAAAAAAAATAATATGTACATACCAGTATACCACATCTACACACATAAATTAAACCAATAATAACAATCTTTTCCAAAAAATGTGACTGACGGCCGACGGGTGACTTTTTATCTGACTTCCATGACGTCTTAAATTCTTTATTCAAATATGAGTATAGTTAATGTTTTTTTATTTTTACATATTATGTAAAACTGTAAAGATATATTCTTAAGAAATGTTTAAAAAAATACGTATACCGAATCAGGATATTTTTACTACTATTGATTTCAATGCATACGGCATACCTAACCAGTAACCAGTAGTTACAAGTACCTAGGTACCTATATCAGTTGTCGAGCGGAATGATAGTCACACACTCGCACAGAGGCTATTGTCAAGGCCGTAACTTAAGACAAATTTAGGAGGGTCCATTATTATTTTGATATTGGTACTGGACACTCATCATTTTTACGTTCAAAATATAAAAACTCTTTATTTTTAGTATTACCTACTGTTTGAACGAAAATATAAAATTATTCTTAATACAATAACCTTAATTTACTCATCCCAAAATGTTTCTACTTTTAACAAATTTTCAAGGAGGTCTGGACCCCTGGACTCTCAGTTACGGCCTTGGTTGGAGCACTATACTAAAGTTAGGTTAGGTATATCGTATATATATAGTATGTACAGTTGTATTACAATTATACATTTATACAATTATCGTATATTTGTTTATACTATAACTGGATTTAAATGGTTTTAAGAGGACGCCACACCCGCATGTGTTGTCTCCGTCTTACAAAGGAACAACATAGCAAAAACTGTTTTGTGAGGGACAACTTTTATCTTTCTGTGTTTGTAGTAGTGGCTCCAAAATTTCTGAACATATCGAGTAGAAAATTATCTATGCAACAGAGTGCCTATATTTTAGATAACATAAATACAATACAAGTAATTTGCTTCTAAACATTTTGTTCTTTTCATTTGCTTATAAAAAAATGATTGGAAAGTGTTATTAAAAAAAAAAAGCACGCTGTTGCACAGATTAAGTTTTTCTTTACGTGTTGAGAAAATTTGGTAATTCTACAGCAAATATGGTGCGAGAAAAGTTATAGCGTTGTCCCGCGCTAAACAGTTTTTGCTATGTTGTACATTTGTAAGACGGAGACAGCACGTCATGTGGGTGTGGAGTCCTCTTAATATAGTTTTATGATTATCTACCGTAGTATTTATTATTCAGGTACTCTTATATTATAGGAATTCTGAGTGTTCAAATGACTTATCGGTTATCACCTATCATCGTGTCGAGGCAATTCGAATACAAAATCAATTTAAATTATTTTTTTTTCGCCGTCGCCGTATACGCTGCAATTATTATTGCAACGATGACCGGGTATAACAAGTAACAACTATATCTTCTCAGAATCACCCGTATCGCGTATGTGATTAAGCATAATTCTAGCCATACATGTATGCGGGTGCGTGGAAAAAAATGTGGTCCGATGCACCTACTCATGTAAAAAAAAAATTATTTACAACATTTACGAACAGATAGGTTATAGGTATTATGCATATCGATTATCGACCTAGTTACATCGTTAGAAATCGATTCGCATCATAAACATAAATAGAAATAAAATGTTGATTTGTTATCTTATGTACCTATATGTATAGCCGTATAGGTACTAGGTAGCTGTGGATAAGTATCCTATGTCGTTGGCTAAATACATTCCCATTCCCGTACGTTCAATAAATAATACATTTGCAAATGATTAAGAAGAATGTAACATAAATACTGAACTAGTCACCATACATCGAACATCAATACAGGAGCTATGGAAGTTGAAATGGGATTCCCTTCCAGAGTCCTATGCTGTATGCCTGTATTCTATAGGTCTTTATTCAAAAACATACCCACCCAACCATGGTTTCAATCGCTAAAAATAACCCGCGCTGCCATAACCAAATTCAACAGATTACGCACAGGCCACAGCCTACTACCACACCATTCCTTTAAGTTGGGACTCAACAGCAGTATGTATTGTCCACTACCCAACTGCGGTAGTGATTACTGTGATTTCCAACACCTACTCTTGAATTACCCATCTCTCTCAATCCAAAGATCTCAGTTAAAAAGTCTCTTTTCCACCTTCGGTATACATTTTTCCCTTACTAACGCCCCTCTCAACCAACAATATTAAATTAATTATACACACACTAAATTTTATAAAACAATCAGGCTTACAAATTTAATAGTGTGAGCTTTACAAATATCACGTATTTATATAAATTATAATTGTCGAGATATCATAATTTAACATTAAAATCTCATTAAATGAAAAAAAAAACAAATGTAACAAAACACAGATATTTTAGTGTTTAATTTATCCTTCAGTGTAAATATTTTTTTACTTAAAACACAATACCTTCATGTTTGTATAGAAGTGAGTAAGTGGCACTCATAACCAAGTATGAATATTATAATAATATATATATTATACCTATTACCTACGTTTTAAGATTACGCATAGTTACATATTTTTACTGGCATTTCACATTATAATATTATTTGTAATTTGTTACATGTATTTTAAATATTATGTAAGGACTGTGTAATTGGAGTATGACTAGTATGAGCTCCACTTATCTACAGAACATGCTGCGTTTTAAGTTTCAGTTCAATTTTAAAATACTTGAGCACAAAAAGAAAACCTCACTACTCTTTTCAGATAGGTGTTAATATACTAAAAATAATAAATAGCAGCCATTTGCACGTGTTCAGCGTGATTAAAAAAAAATTAATAGAAACTTTCTTAATATTATACCAATAAATTATCAATTTAATTACAATCCCTTAAAAGGTATAAATTCAATTCAATTCATTATATCATATACTATGCAATTACCTCCATAGAGCACGGCTCGTAAAATTATAATTAACGTTTAAAAAGTCGAAATGTAATCACAGAAAATGAACGGAAAGTTATTATTATCTACTGACCACAGTGTAATTATTTTTAAATGTTTCCGAAAGTATTATATTGAATGATATATTTAATAGAAATAACGTGTGTACTGTGTACACGAAAACAGGGTACAAAGAAAAGGGGCGAATGTAAACTCCGCCAGAAAAAAAACAGGTAAAATTGGGTTCATGTAAACTCCGCCAGTGAAAAGAATAAAGTAAAATTGAGTTCATATAAACTTTTTCAGTAAAGAAAATCAAGTCACAGCATAAAATTAATATATAGGATAGATATCATGTACATTATAATATCCCAAAAAATATACAAAAATTAATAAAAATAAAAATTATCAGAGCAAATCATCCAAATTGTCATGTGTAGGTATTAATGTATTATCATAATAAATAAATATAAAAATCATAAAATATGTTCCTAAGAACCTAGGTATGTTATGTTATGGAATAATATGTTGAACTGTGAACTAAAATGATGAGATACAGTTTGTAGATATTCTGACATCTCAGTCTAATATAAATCCAATCCATTATCATAACTATTTATAACGTTCCCTAACACTATCATTTTAGATTTTTGAGCTTCTTTGGTTTAGATATTTTATTAAGTTTTACATAAGCACTGGCTGAGTTTCCATATATCCATTTTACAGGTAAGAAAATAAAAATGACGGGGTTTACATTAGACCTTTTCATTGCCTTTTTATCTAACTGGTATTCTGGCTGAGTTTACAATCGCCCAAAGAAAAGGTAGAGTTGTTGGGCATGCGCAAAATACAAGAGTTATACAACTATAAATCATAGGAATTTCTGATTCCATAGTTTAGTCTCAAGTACCGAAAACAGATTTCAAATATGTGTATATAGTGTGTAGAAATATAGAGTGTACATACCTATGTTTTTGTGGACACACGGGCCCGATATAGTAGTATTAATGAAGTATGTAGAGAAAAAGGATTGGGTGTAGACATGTAAGGCACACAGAAAGGAAATTGATAAATAAACTAACTTTGTGGGTCCCGGATAATAAATACCTGGGATGATCAAGACAAAGACGGCATGATTGTGAACGTTAGGATCGATATGTGCTTAACTAATAACAGGAGTTTACAGAGACATGTTTCACATCTGGGTTTGGATTCATTACATATTAGATGAGAATGTGTAACTCTAGTATGTCCAATATGTACTCTGGTGACCATAGTCTTCTTGTGTCTTGGAGCTTCATTAATGGGTCTGGCCACTTATTAGTTGATGGTTTTATTTGCCTCAGTTTATTGTTTTCCACATTGATTCTTACACAAAGAATCACATTTAATTTCAAGTGCTGTATGTTAACTGTCAACATTTGTTTTTACATTATTATATCTATGAACATTGTACGGGCATAGTCTTTTTGGACAAGGTACACACAAGAACACGATAGTAACATATTGGTAGGTTATAACTTATATATTATGATATAACAACTATAGAAGAACCTGGATTATCCTTGTTTATGATTAACCGTGATCACTATTTCAAAAATTAAAAAAATAATAATGCATAATAAATTAAGTTATTAGGGCCTGACTAACATTTTGTTACATGCATAATTATTACATGCACACATATTTCGTTAAATAAAAAAACACTCGATTAACTGTGGTTTTCTGGGTGACTCCACCCTACCGTTACTATGAATAATCAAGATTCTACTGTACATGTACATTAATCTTGATATCATTATACATTATTTAGTTTTTTCAAATGGAAAATTAATGGTTAACTTAGGACATAAGACATTAACATATGGGTAGTAGAACAGTAAAACAGCAGAGAAGAGTAAGGTCAGCTTTTATGTTAAAGAAGTTTATAACTAATAAGCAAAACAGGGTTGGAAAATCAGTTTTCTTGGATGATAGACCTTAAAGGAATATGAGATTAAGTGAATGTCAATACATGGCCAAGGTAATATGTTTGC